TTCAATGTGGAACGATTCTTAGCTAGTGTCGATGTTTTCCACGGCAGTGCCTAACACAGACGATCGGGAGAGATTCGGGTGATTGTCAATTGCTGCTATGATGGCTTTGGTTGGTTGTTCTTTTTCACTGTACGGCCGCAGACACATTCTGACAGCACTTCAGACAGCAGCTTTGTGCCCCGCCAGCTGCTTGTTCCATGCCTACCATGGTGTTTTTGTACAGACAGCACTTCAGACAGCATTATGCTGTAGTCGGCAATCTTCCGTTTTGGTATAGAGTGGGACAGGGAGGGGGTGATGCTACTGTAGTCGAACGGTGGGACGGACGTGCAGTTCAGTTTTTGGGCACGCATACGGTGCTGCAGGGATTTTTAGGTGTACCTCTCCGGGCTCTTGGATACCTTTTCTCGTTAAATGTGTGCGTGTTCTTGAGATCTTCAGATGGCTCTAGCACTTTCGTGACCACGGGCTGAGAGTCTTTGCTAGATTTTGGCATTTAGCAACTGACATACGGTTCAATGTGAAGACAACAACAACAACAACAACCATAGACTATATATCATATATATATGGTAGACTATAGTCTATTCAGTGTTAACAGCGGGATTCTCAAGAACCAAAAGAAGAACCAAATCCGCGTGCCCCCCTCAAATTTCGACGAACGGACGGAACGTTTTTTTGGCCCCAAATTCCGTCGCTTTGAACCCCCTTGTAGAAGAAAGGAAGAAACGCAATCTGTAGCCTTCACCCGTATAGTCTACAGGCGGGACTATCGACCAACAAACACGCGTAGTAGCCTCGTTCGGTACACACCATGTTCGTGCACCACCCGCAGCATAAATTTGTCCGATTGCCTTTCTTTCCTCCTCTCCCGTAAAAGGTCGAAAACTTGCTCGCACAACACATACATGATGATGACCCGTCGGTCGGCAAATATCGAATCAAACTCAATCAACAGCACCTGGCAATAGGCCTTTACTCCATCGGCCGTTATGTTTGTATGACGGAGAATAAGAAGGTGAAATTACTTTGGAAATTAGTATGGAAATAAAGTTTGTGTATCTAAATTGATAATAAAACGGCTGATGATGGAGCAACGGCCCTACCTGGCAACAGCAAGCGACATCATCTACCCGAGACACACACACTACCATGTCAGCACGTGGATTGCTCGTCTCCCTGCTGCACTGCCAAAAGCTGAAGGCTGGACTCACCTGTCCCGTTGTAGGTCCGCCGCTCATTTCCCCCAGCGAGCGTGTCCCATTCTGCCTCTTGTGTTGGTTCGGCGGCGGTAGAGACCGAAGACCCGTATGCTACACATGCACCCAGCAGGGGCAGCAGCAGCAGCAGTGGCAGGAGCCTCATAGACTAGCTTGTGAGTCCAGACTTTGGAAAAGTTGCCCCACCTTTTATTCTGGGAAATAGACACAAGTGGGGATATACCCACCCCTTTCTCGGACAAAAGTGGGTGCTCGAAAATCCAGCGCGCGCGCACTCCACAGGCGGCCCCCAAACGACTCAAAACCCCATTCTGACACCTGCCACCTCTGCTGCCTCTTTGGTGCGGTGCCTACCCTACACTAATGCGCTGGTGCATACTGCACTGCTGTAGTACCTGGTACTGGTGTACGTTGTCCTTCGATTTTTTATTTTTTTTGTGGGAATATATATGTGTTTGTTTTTCGCCCCCCGTCTTGCTGCACCCCCTGGGGTGTGGTGCAGGGCGGGGGATGCCTGGTCGGCGGGAACCCGGCACGGAACCCTCCGGCGTTGTAGGCGGGTGTGGGAAGCGTTCCCCGTTCTCCTTTTATTTTATTTTGATCGGTCTCCTCGACGCTCTTTCTCGTTTGGTGCGGTAGCTGGTCTTTCTTTCTATCATTTTGTTTCTCTTCCGAGTGGTTTTTGTACCCTATTTTTTTCTGTTTCTTCGTGGGGTCGTGTATGCCGGGTTTTGAGACCACGGGCTCCCAATCTTCTTTTTTAGAACAACAACAACAACCTGCGCGACACAGCCAAGGACCATACACAGCACGGGCATCGATTTTTTCCCACTTTCAGGCACACCTTTGGCCCTAATACCACCGAGGCGCGCAGAGCCTCACCACAGAGTGCGCACTTCTGTCCGACATCGCGGTGGGTATACCCACCGGCGTCAACAAATGTTTCATCTACCCACTTTTACTATGTCTATACTTTGACCCACTTTTGTCCAAACTGTACCCACATTTGTCCACTTACTTACGGACGGCGGAGATCGAGCGGAAATCGACCTCCACGTCACCGCGCGGCAGAACATCAAATAGCCTCGGAACGTCTCAGAACCTCCCTACACCGTATCCATGGCATCTTTCGTATCCATGACTGCCGACTGCGGACCGACCNACGGGAGGATACCAGGCACGGGAAGATGCCCGCGGCAAGCCCGGCAAGCAGCTCACTAACGGCAAACGCCACAAATAAATGCGTGACACACAACGGTCAACAAAACCAACGGGCGTGCGTAGACAGAAAGAACAAAAGCGTGCGCAGACAGAAAGAACAAGAGGACGGGCATACAACAACAACACACTCGCGACCGCGCTACACACACGCGTCTCGCTCACGCCGGAGAGCCTCGAAAAGATGATGTCCATCATCGTGCGCGTGGCCGGCCTGTTCGGACTGATGGTATCGGAGCCAAAGACGGAGATCATGTGCATGCTACCGAAAGGGCTGGGGGAACGCCCGTTCGCGGTCAGCGCCGCTGGCCAGACGTACAAGCAGACAGATCGGTTTGTGTACCTCGGACGTACCATCTGCGCGGATGGGAAGGTCGACCGGGAGATCACGAGCCGCATCTGCCGAGCATGGAAGTGCTACCGCCGGAACAGCACTTCGATGTACGACAGGAAACGGGCCAACCGCCAGCTCAAGATCCGACTACTCCAGGCTGAAGTGGTGCAGACCCTCCTATACGGGTGCGCCTCGTGGAGCCTGGCAGCGGAGCACTACACCAAGCTGAATGGGACCCACCGCCAGTTCCTGACACGGTGTATCGGCTGGAGCAAGCGGAAGCGCTCAGACCGACCCCTGTCCTACGCCCAGGCCCTCATCCAGGCCGGCTGCGAGGAAACCATCGAGGCCACCGTGCGCAAACGGAGGCTGTGTTTTGCGGGCTTCGTTATGCGCATGGAGGACAACCGCCTCCCCAAGCGCATGCTGCTGGGAGCGATGGCGGGGGGTACCGGATACCGGGGCGGGCAGGAGAGCGACTGGGTGTATCGCCTAGGAGAGGACCTCGTGGCGTTTGGCATGAAAGAGGAGAAGGAGGGGGGGAGATGGAAAGAGAGCGCCAAGGACCAGGAGGCGTGGTACGACAAGATCGAGGACGGGGCGGCATGGTTCATGAGGAAATGGCACAGACAGGAGGCGGAAGCATCCGCGAAGCGCCAGCGCCAGCGCGCGGAGGAAGCAGAGACGGAGAGTACGGCCGCCCCGGGCCCGAAGAGAAAGAGAATCGGGGAAGCGGCGGGGGGGGGTAAGAAACGGCGACCGGACACAGATACAAACCCGTCTTCTTCGCCCAAGCAAGCAGTGCTCTCCATCCATCGTTTCTACGTCTTACGTCAGCAACAACGGTAACACATATATTTCGCCAGTCCTCTGCGCAGTTTCGAGGGAAACTCTGATGACACATACCGTGAATTGGATGTCTTGTAGGTGGCAGGTCCATTCGCCTGGTCGCCACACCCATCAGCGTCTTCGACGCCTGTTAAATCAAGTGTGCAGCCGAAAGTGTATGCCTCGCATTCATCGTCACCGACCTCGGTCGTGCCGAGGGGGCCGATCCACCTGGAGAAAACAAGGTGGGGCATTCGAGTCGTAAGCTCACTGCCGACCGTCGCCGTGGTCGGTGCTGGAAACAACCCTCCGCAATATATTCACAGCTAAGCCAGCCAACCTTCCGATTATTTTCATGCAAACAGGCATATCAAATACATAGGCGTACAATATGTTTCCATTTGAGTCATCGTTCTCACCGTGCTTGTATAGCATTGAAGCAATGAAACGCCACAAAAATAACACAATCGGGCGACAAGCTATCGCACCGGCCAAGCGACACTCACAGGCCAATGTCGTAGCGATCGCCGCCGTTCACGTCGACAAGTAGGTTTGCAGTGAAGGAGATGTCTCTTATACACATCTAGATGTGTATAAGAGACCAGCGTAGGCGAGGGAGGTAGGACGGTGGAGTGCATTAGCCCGAGGCTGATGAAGGTGCGCCTGCAAATTGGCCGCACCTGCGGAGTAACTTTCGTGGTGGGGTACGCCCCTACGGAAACTGCCCGCAACACCGCGGGCGGTGATGTCAATGCCAAGGACTCCTTCTGGACTGCTCTCGACGCAGAGATCCGGGAGGTCCATAGCCGTGACCATCTCGTGGTACTAATGGACGCCAACGCACGTACTGGCAGGAGGCGAGACGGATGCTGCGATGCCAAGATTATGGGCGCGTACGGACGCGACATTATGAACAACAACGGGGAACGACTTCTCGGACTGGCAGCAGACAACCGACTCTCCCTGATCAACACCTACTTCCGGACACCGAAAGGAGGAGTGCAGCATACGTTCCAGAGCTCCAACAAGGGGAAGGAGAAGCACCGCCTCGACTTCATCCTCATGCGACAGACGGACCGGCGTCTCGAACGTAATGCCTCCGTCAAACGTGTCGATTTCAAGGACTCTGACCACAACCTGGTGCATACGACTGTCCGCTCCCCCCCCCGTGTCGCACCCAACCGACGAACGCGGGGAAACAGCGGAAGCAGCCGGATCCGTATCGACCTCGAACGGTTGAGGAAGGATGTGCACCTACGGGCCGTCTTCCAAGACAGGGCTCTCAACCGCCCTCCGCCCACGGCCCTCAGCAGGCCAACGGGAGAGACCGCCGCCGAGCTCACCGCTGTGGTGATGTCGGCCGCTGCGGAGATCGCGCCGCTGGCGAGGAGCGCACGAGGGAAGGGAGGATGGTACACGAGCGAAGCGCAGCACGAGATTTCCGAAGCGTCTAGGGAGATAAGAGTGGCCCAACAGCAGCTGCGCGGGGCCTCAAAGAACAGCGACTTAGAGACGACCCTGAAGGCGAAGCTCAAGGCGGCGCGGAAGAAACGCAGCAGCGCGAGGTGGAGAGCACTGGAAAAGTTCTTCGAGGGCTATGTGAGGCAGCTCGAGAAGAAGAGCCGTGAGGGGGACCAGGCGGGTTTCTACAGGCACCTGAAGATGATCGACGTCGAAGGTAAGAGGCCACTTACCTCCCAGAACATCAAGGACGAGGACGGTAAGGTCCTTCGGGACCCCACGCTTACCCGCCAGCGGTGGGCGCGGTGGTTCCACAAGCTCCTTAACACCAAGTCGCCGACCATCGACCTGCATGCGACCGACAGAGTCAAGCAGTGGCCCACGTGCGTTCCGCTCGACGACATCCCGTCTCTATTCGAGGTTGAGGAGGCGGTGCGGGGAATGGCCAACAGGAAGGCCGTCGGGCCGGACGACCTACCGGCTGAGCTGATCAAGCTGTTCCTGGATGGAGACCGAGGCTTCCTCCGCGAATTCCACGCCATCGTCGTGGACGTGTGGCAGACGGGGAACGTACCGCAGCAGTGGAAGGACGCCACCATCAAGGTTCTGTTCAAGAAGGGGGACACGATGGAGTGCGGCAACTACCGGGGCATCTCTCTCGTTGCACACGCCGGCAAGGTGCTGCTTAAGGTCGTTGCAACACGCCTAAGCCACTACTGCGAGCGAGAGGGCATCCTCCCGGAGGAGCAGAGCGGTTTCCGCCCACACCGGTCGACGCTCGACATGCTGTTCGCGATCCAGCGGCTCCATGAGCTCGCGAGGAAGAAGAGTACTGCGGTCTTCGCGTGCTTCGTCGATCTCACCAAGGCGTACGATTCGGTGGACCGAGATCTGCTGTGGGACGTGCTCGGACGCTTTGGCGTGCCCCCGAAGATGCTGGCGGTCATTCGCCACTTCCACGAGGGCATGAGGGCGCGGGTTCGAACGGACGACGGGCAGTACTCGGAATGGTTTGACGTCGGCCAAGGTCTCCGACAGGGGTGCAACCTGGCCCCGCTGCTGTTCAACTTGTTCTCTGCCGCGATGCGCATGGTCGCAGTGACCGAGTTCGACAAGGACCCCAAGGTGACGGCGGATATGATCAAGATCGCAACACGAGTGGAGTGCACGGGCAAGAGGGGCAGGTCGGCGGGGAAGAAGGCGATGATGGTGACGGTCGCAGAGGCCCTGTGGGACATGCTCTACGCTGACGACGCGGCCATCGTCTCGCTCACGCCGGAGAGCCTCGAAAAGATGATGTCCATCATCGTGCGCGTGGCCGGCCTGTTCGGACTGATGGTATCGGAGCCAAAGACGGAGATCATGTGCATGCTACCGAAAGGGCTGGGGGAACGCCCGTTCGCGGTCAGCGCCGCTGGCCAGACGTACAAGCAGACAGATCGGTTTGTGTACCTCGGACGTACCATCTGCGCGGATGGGAAGGTCGACCGGGAGATCACGAGCCGCATCTGCCGAGCATGGAAGTGCTACCGCCGGAACAGCACTTCGATGTACGACAGGAAACGGGCCAACCGCCAGCTCAAGATCCGACTACTCCAGGCTGAAGTGGTGCAGACCCTCCTATACGGGTGCGCCTCGTGGAGCCTGGCAGCGGAGCACTACACCAAGCTGAATGGGACCCACCGCCAGTTCCTGACACGGTGTATCGGCTGGAGCAAGCGGAAGCGCTCAGACCGACCCCTGTCCTACGCCCAGGCCCTCATCCAGGCCGGCTGCGAGGAAACCATCGAGGCCACCGTGCGCAAACGGAGGCTGTGTTTTGCGGGCTTCGTTATGCGCATGGAGGACAACCGCCTCCCCAAGCGCATGCTGCTGGGAGCGATGGCGGGGGGTACCGGATACCGGGGCGGGCAGGAGAGCGACTGGGTGTATCGCCTAGGAGAGGACCTCGTGGCGTTTGGCATGAAAGAGGAGAAGGAGGGGGGGAGATGGAAAGAGAGCGCCAAGGACCAGGAGGCGTGGTACGACAAGATCGAGGACGGGGCGGCATGGTTCATGAGGAAATGGCACAGACAGGAGGCGGAAGCATCCGCGAAGCGCCAGCGCCAGCGCGCGGAGGAAGCAGAGACGGAGAGCACGGCCGCCCCGGGCCCGAAGAGAAAGAGAATCGGGGAAGCGGCGGGGGGGGGGAAGAAACGGCGACCGGACACTGCTGTAGAAGCGAGTAGGGCGGCCAAGGCCGCGCTTGCGGCGAACGACGTACCCAACTGATGATGTTGTCGCACCCTGTGTTCCCTTTTCCCTGCCGTAAGCTGTATGCTCTTAGTATTGCCTCCGGCCTCTCTTTGTGCTTTTCTTCTTTCTTTCTTTCTTGTTCTCCATGCCCTCTCTACGATGATCTTGGACGATACCTCGAGCTCCTTGTTATTTTTGTTTTTTCCTTTGCTGGCTGCCTGCCACCTCTGCTGCCTCTTTGGTGCGGTGCCTACCCTACACTAATGCGCTGGTGCATACTGCACTGCTGTAGTACCTGGTACTGGTGTACGTTGTCCTTCGATTTTTTATTTTTTTTGTGGGCATATATATGTGTTTGTTTTTCGCCCCCCGTCTTGCTGCACCCCCTGGGGTGTGGTGCAGGGCGGGGGATGCCTGGTCGGCGGGAACCCGGCACGGAACCCTCCGGCGTTGTAGGCGGGTGTGGGAAGCGTTCCCCGTTCTCCTTTTATTTTATTTTGATCGGTCTCCTCGACGCTCTTTCTCGTTTGGTGCGGTACCTGGTCTTTCTTTCTATCATTTTGTTTCTCTTCCGAGTGGTTTTTGTACCCTATTTTTTTCTGTTTCTTCGTGGGGTCGTGTATGCCGGGTTTTGAGACCACGGGCTCCCAATCTTTCTTTTTTAGAGCTAATGTGAGAAACAACAACAAAAACAACAAACACGCGCGTGCGTGGTGGAAGGCAGTAGCAGCAGCAGCAGTAGTAGACTGATGGACTGAAGTGGAATCGCTTTGCACTGGAGCCTCCAGTCGCATCGGCAATGAGCGGTGTCATGAACCAAGATTTGGCACCACCACCACCCGTACCTGGACCTGCACGCACCACGATGCCCAACGGAAGTACGGTATTCATGTCCCCTCTGCATCAGCAAAGGATCAACGAACCTGACGGCGAGGAATCTGGCAACACACCAAAAACGTCAGCATAAAGGTCGAGGAAAGGAGCTACTACAGTAGGGGGCCCTCTATAGTGCCGGTATGTGTTCAGAGAGCAAACCGGCACTATACCGGGCACTGGCACTATTCAGAGTACAGAAAGACTTGATATTCCGGTGTGTGCGAGCCGAAAACACCGGCACTATACCGGCAACCGGCACTATTCAACCGGCACTATATCGGGCCACCCACTGTGCTCAATTTGTCTCCTCCTAGATGCTTGCGCTCGAGCAGCCAAGCACCTGGTTACTTACGCCGCATGTGGCACATGCGGCGACCTTTTCTCTCCACGCACCAAGCATTGTTGCGAACCAGGTACTACATCGTCTTCATCTCTCTCTGGGTCGTTGCAGCCACCGCAAGAGGATGATGACGATAGGCGGCAACTCCTANNNNGCACATGCGGCGACCTTTTCTCTCCACGCACCAAGCATTGTTGCGAACCAGGTACTACATCGTCTCCATCTCTCTCTGGGTCGTTGCAGCCACCGCAAGAGGATGATGACGATAGGCGGCAACTCCTACAATTGTATTACCGTGGGACCTCAACGATGTCAGCAGTGCCCTGGATCGGGTTCGACAAGATACTCTCGAAACGTCAACTTTTTCGACAGTCAAACACGTCGATCCGCAAATTTGCAAACACTTCCAACATGTCGTCATCCTCTTCGTGCAAGCACTTGGAGCTGTACACATAGATCAGCAGAAGTCAGATACCTCAGATCTGTCTCCTCTTGCAGCGGAAAGATATGAAGTAGTAGCACGTGTTGAAAGACAACTCCAACTTGTCCGAGCAAAAAAGTTGCTTCATCCTTACCCCAGCATTACATGGATCGACTGATGGCAAGATGAACAGGGTATCCCGATTCAACCGCTTTGCAAATGGTGATCTGAGTGAACCTATCGCCTGGCTCATGATGTACGAGAAGAATCGTCGACTTCAGTATTATGCGGATACTGAAGACAATCGCCAAAGAAGAGCCACAAGACTTGCGCACGAAAGCGGAGGCATCACTAAAGCTGCCAGTGCCTTAATTTCCCCAGCACCTTCACCGCGCAACAACGACACGCTGGAGCATCTTCGCAACCTACACCCTAACGAAGATCCTGACGAAATTACTACTGCGTGGGATGTGGAGACCAACTTCATAAAGATAGGATAGTTGTCGCTACAACGAGCGACAGTTGATAGATGTAACTGTCGTCAGACGTGTGCGTCCGCGGGAGGTGGAAGAAATTGTTTTTTTTTGCAATTGACTTCATTGGTTACCCGCGACGGCGCCGAAGACGCCCATGTCCGTGTACCTGACCCTCGTAGTCCGTGCTAACTCCCCAAGCCTAACCTCTTCCTGCAGCCTACCCTTCATCGTCGATGAGTTTCCAAGGTTACCTATCCTGTCGAAACTCATGGGCTCTACGATGAGGTCCACAAGTCTCTTCGCCCTACTGAGACAGACGAAAGTAAGCCCCGTACAGGCCTCCTTGGGCCCCAAGTCTATGACGGCCTTGGCTAAAGTCTGCCCCTGTGACTTGTGCATCGTGATTGCCCAGCAGAGCCTAAGGGGCAGCTGCGTCCGGACCTGCGTCCCCCCGTCCTGCCACATGGTGTCGACGGGAGAAATGGGGACACAACCTCTATACCTCTCCTGAGACGACCAGTCCCCCCCCGAGTACCCTTCGAAGTTGACGACAACGTATAGGGGGAGCTTCGGCGGGGGCGCATTTTCAGCATACACCAACTCGACGACTTCCCCTCTAATGCCGTTCACCAGCCCAACTTGACTCTTCTTGTCCTTGCACGGCGGACAACTGTACCAACAAGCGGGTGTGGGGGCGGCAGGCGGTGGGGTATAGAAGGGTAACGTGACGTTCGTCAGGACACACACAAACTCGCTGTCATGTGAGGCACGCACGCAAATAGTCGATGAATCCGGATCGGGCTCGAGCCCTCTCTAAGGCGATTTTTTCCATATTTCTTTTCCCGGTCTGGTGTTATCCTCCGTACATACCTAATTTGTTTTTGCTCCGTACATCGGTTTTTTTGTTTTTAAAGATGTTACAAGTTGCGACATGCCGAGACGTTTGAACACGAAAGACCACCCACCTATAGACGCCTCCGTCCTCCGGTCCGTCCTCTGCGGAGTCCCAACGCTCAGAGCACACAGTGCACACATGCATCCTCCGGGCACTCATGGGCTGCTGGAAGGTGGTTTGCATGTCGTCTCTGGCCCAACCCAACTTTTCTAGCGGCCTAGCAGCGTCAAACTCCGCAAGGTCTCTCCGCTTGACATGAGCCTCGCTCTCTCGCCTTGCCCTCTCGGCATCTCTGGCCGCTGCTGCCCGTTCTCTAGCCGCTGCACGCCTGCGAAGTGGGGTCCGTGAGGTTAGTCTAATCTGCAGAGGCAGCGTGATGCGTGTGGACGATGCCAAGTTGACGATGCGGCGAAAAAATGTCTGCACAAGTTTAAAAATGCTGGGCACCAACAAGCTTTTTGTATGCACACACACCTGGCCTCTGTCGCCTGTGGTGTCTGCTGCTGGCGCCTCACAGCCTCTCTCTCTCGGTTAGCCGCCAGCTGCGGTGGTGTCTGCCGCTGGCGCCTCGCAGCCTCTCTCTCTCGGTTGGCCCGCAGCCTGCGTGTGTGCCGTGCGTTCGATGTGTTGTGGGTGTGGGGTACAGCAGCACTACTGCTGTGTGCGCGGAAGAAAAAAAAGGCCCTTGTTTTGTATTTGAACTCTGCGGTTATTAAATTTCCTGGGGCAATCGCCGCCCACACGCACACGCAACGCACCTTTCTGCCCGTGCTCCATCGGTCTCCGTCGCACGCCTGGCGGCAGTCCTCTGACGAGCAGCAGCTCTCGCCCTGTCAAGCTGTGGGCTGCCTTGGGACTCCCTCTCCCCGTGGCTTTGTCTGCGCCGTGAGTCTGTGTGCGCCTCCGCCTCACGGAGAGAGTTCGGGTCAATCGACCGCAACGGAAGTCTATTCATGCAATAGCCATGCTGGCTTTTTTGTCGCTCGCTGTGGCTGTCTCTCGCTGTGGGTGTGTCCGCTTTGCCCGGTGTGCTCTGACCGGTGTGCGTGGGTCGCCGTGCCCGCTGAGCGCGTGTTCTGTCTGCACTGCAACAACATCGTGTGTTCTGTGTTCTGTCTGCTGACCCCCCACCTTTAATGCGGGAGATTGCGATTTGCTTGCCAGAGACCTGATTCTGCGTCTCCCCCCCGAGACTGTCAGTGGCACACTGCAACACGCAACGCGGCAACACCTACCAACGCGGCACACGCTCCTTAGCTCTCTCTCTCTCCCCCCCCATCCTCGCCAACGTCACACTTTGTTCGCCTGTGTTGCAGTTCTTGTCAAACTTATCTCCGACGAGATAGATACGGGACACGCAGCAACTAACATACGTACGTAACAGCGGTCAGGGCGAGCGCTGCGTGTACCAGGGAGAGAGAGCGGCACGCGCCGGTTTTGCTTCCCAAGGCACAGCTCTGTCGTCGTCAACAGCGAGAGAGGCGCGCGCCATACCGTTGAAGACACACACGTTTTCGATATGCCGCTCCTTGCAAAGCACTCGGTGTTGCTGCTCCTCCTCCTCCTGGCGCCAGCAACCCAAGGCCTACTCCCCTTGCCGGCAGCAGCAGCAAGGCCACGACCTCGGTCGGCAGCAGCACCGACGGCGCTTCGCATGGAGGACGAAGCTTCTTCTCGATCTGGTGGCCCTCATGGGTCGAACTCCGGCGATACCCTGACTCGCCAGGGTTTCATCGGGGGCTTAATAGGGGCAGCGCTAGCCCCGGCCCTGGTAAAGCCTCGGTCCTCGCCGTCGTACGACGTGATGAAGTACGAACGGATATTCGACACCGCCAGGAAAAGCTTCGTGCCCGCCGACCCGTCGAGGCTGATCTTCCCCGGCGTTGGCTTCGCGGACCGCGTGGTTTGCACGGGCGAGATGCACACCCACCCGCTCCACCACAGGATGCAGTTCGAGGTGATCAAGGCCGTGGCGTCCGTCACCAAGGCCAAGACCGAGCCGCTGGCCATCGGTCTCGAGATGTTCTATCGCCAGCAGCAGGTGTGTGGTGGTGGGATTTGTTCGGTGTTGCCGCCCCCGCCTCTCCCGGAGGTTTTGCCACGAAATCACGCTGCTGACGAGTTGCCCTGTTGTTGTTTTGCTGCGTATTCCCCACTGCTGCTGTTCTGGCCCATGGGTCTTGCACCTCCTTAGCAGCGTGCTTGGTGCCGGAAAGCGCGGCGAAATAATTTCACGTATCACACACAACAAGCAGTCATGTCGTCGTCGTGGGCGAAGGCAAACCTGCTCGTGAGTTTGAACGTCTTTCACTCTCTCGGAGGTGCAGGTAGAAAACAACAAGTATAACCTAATCTGCCAGAAACGGCGATACGAATTGGTTTGCCATCGCAAATATAAATTGCAGGTTTGGTACACGCCATTTTTCCGAACCAAGCTAACAACGACCCGCTCACACAAACCCCCCTGGTCACTCGTCTGACACCTATGGCATGCGAAATGTGAGTACGCCCCCATCCTTCCCCTACTCGACGCTCTTGCTCTGTAGGACGCTCTCGACCGTTACGTCTATTCTCATGGAGATCTCGCGGCGCTCAAGCTTGACACGAAATGGGACGAGACATGGGGTTTTGACTTCAACCAGTACGCCAAGATTTTCCACTACGCGCGCGAGAACGGCATCCGCTTGGTTGGGTTGAATGCCCCTCAGTCCCTCCTGCACCTGATCAATAAGGTAAGCAAGCAAAGGGGAGACACACGATACGAAGGAAAAGTTTGGTGTGCTCGAAGTTCTATATCGAGTGGTTTCTGTACCCCAAAGTAATTGGGTCTCACCCATTGAAAGTATGTGGTTGCGGCGGCCTGTGATTGTACTATCGTACATGTCGTCACCCATGTCATGACTTCTACGGATACATTCTCACTCGTTTTTCTCTCGTGTAGAAAATGTTTAATGTATTCATGCAGTCATTATTCGCAGCATCTGCCCCCCAGCCCCAACCACCCCCATCCTTCGTACTCTCTGCTGAATCCCGTTCGCTCCCTGACCATTGTCACCGTATTTTTTGCTGTCTCGCTTCGTCTCAGGTCGGGATCGCGGGGTTACCCCAACGACTTCAAGAGGTGCTCCCAGAAATGGACCTCAGCAATACCGCCCATCGGAAGCGTTTCGAGGACGCCATCAATGGCTTCCAGCACGGGGCAGGGATTGACGCAGCTGCCATGAACCGCATGTACGAAGCCCAGACGCTGTGGGACGAGTACATGGCGGAGTCGGCCAGCCGGTGAGACAAGGAATGCGGTGTTTCGGGAAGGAGAGCCTGTTTTTCTTTACCAGTATTCCCAAAAAACAGTCGATGAACCGAATGAGATCACGTTCAGGGTATAGCTCGAACAGCTTTTTCTGCGTTATTCGACCCCTTCAGGTAACATTTATGATCAACCCTCCTCCGAAAACGAATAAGGTGTGCTCCGGTTGTCGTAGCATGAGCATGCACAACAATACCCAAGCAATGCCAAATGTTGTACCTGTACCCCCCCGGCTTGCATGCCACCCGATTTCGAAGGTACCTCCAGCGAGCGGGGGGGCGGATAGTGCTCTTGGCCGGAAACGGGCACGTTCAAGCGCGCGACGGTATCCCGGACCGAGTAGAACGCCGCACCGGATTGAAACCCTTCACCATCGTGCCCGTCTCCGTCGAATGGACGGAGGATGGGCTGCCGGACATCGACCACCCCCCCGGAACCGCCTTCGCCGACTGGGTGTACTTCACGCAGAACGAAATCGGGCCGCCGGTGCGTGGCGCCGGGTCAGAAGACAACTGATAGGATTTGCTATGGCAAGGAAGAGTTGGTTGTCCATGAACCCGAGCAAGGGTTGAGGGCGTTTCGTTGCATCCCTGGGAAAAGTGAGAAAGGGCCTAGAACGGAGGCGAAGGGGACCATGATTTTTTTGGGGGTGGTGGACTTCGTATGTGGTCGTTTCGTCCAATTCGGGGGGGATGCTCCTGCCTATGACCGTTGTGAGCAGAGATCGCGGGCGGAATGGGGGGCGCAGCGGCTTGGGGGGGAGGTTCAGGCCAGGTCACCGGCAGGTCGCGTGTCAACCGGGATCAGCCTCCCTGCGCTTCGGATGATGGAAAGTAAAAAGCGAACGCGTCGCGCGTGTCAAACGTGGGTGGAGGGATTGGTTGGATCACGTGGCCGCTCGGCATCGCATAGCGCCTGTAAGTAGACATTTTGTAAATACGGAAGCGAACAAGGAGAAGAGGATTGCGTTATCACTTCAGGTTCTGGCGGGGGAGAGTGGGCAGTGGTGAGGGCCGTCCACGAGGTTTCTTCCAAGCACTCGGGGGGAATGAGAGACAGCGTGGTTAGACGAAGCAAACTATTGTGTTTCGTGCCGATTCTAGCCCGGGTGACGTTGGGCGGGGGCACGGGGAGGCGTTCGTTTTGAGGGGCACGCACACGCCGTGTGGGGGGGCTCTGTAGACCTGCCACTGGTCACGTTGGTGTACATACGTGCGGTTGTAAAATGTCGCGGGTTTGATGCGAACATAACGCGACGCTTGAGGATATTGTGTTCGGGTGCGAAGGGTGTTTGTAGCCGATGTTGTGCGAATGTTGGCGTGCTACCGTTGGGCTCTAACGCGGGGCGGGATGCGTGCGCAGACGCAAAGAATGCCCCTCTGGCATGGACTCTGTTGATATTCGCGGGATGATGGGTGCGTCGAGACGGGGCCCGAAGGGTTATCCCCCCCAAAAGGTTTGTAGATTTGGATTGGTGTGATGTATGTTGACGTCGGAACGACGTCGCGACGCTGTGCGGCTATCCCTTCCGTCAGAGGATGAACTCAACATGTATGTGGCGGTGCCGTGAACCACAGTTCCTGGGTGCAATCCTTCGTCTCTTTCACCTACGGAGTGCTCGCAGAGATGTGTCTTGTACGGAGAGCTTACGTGCTTCGCACCTGTGGCGTTGCCAGGCGTTGAAGGACGGTTGGTTGCCCTTGGTTGGCCTGCGGGAAATAGGATGGATAGCGCAGTGGTTTGGGGGGCGGCTTTTGGCTCTGGGAGATCCATGTGATCTGAATTGTGGCGTCCTGCTGGGAAGAGAGTCGTGTGTGTTGTAGCTTGTTGTGTGCATGCGTTGTTCGTCTGCTATTTTTATGTTTTATGTTTACTGCTGTGTCCCTTGTTGAGTTAATGCTGCCGCCACATCTGGATCGGCGATCAACGTTTTTCAGTCGCCTTCGCCTCGTGGCGAGAGACGATTAGGATTTACATCAAACCGCAAGTTACATGCGTGCTACACGTTCCCGCTTGTAGCATCGCTTTGATATCGCAAGAAGCGCGCAGTTGACAATCTCACCCTGTACGCTCTCAACCGCAGCGGGCGTACCGCATCTTTGGATGGTGGTACATCACACGCCTGGTGTTACCGCAAGAAATATGAGCAGAGCAGAACCTTAATCAAATCCCGCGTTGCGCACGAAAGCTCCGGGGTGAAGAAAAGCAAAGAAAAGTCGTGGTCGTCGAGATGTCCACAGTTTCGCGGAGAGGGCCCCGATAGAAGGTCTGAACTTTCTTCATATTTTTTTTCTTTTTTTGCCAAGCGCTACCTGTAAGAAACGCCCGAAGAGGCGGTCTGGCACCCGCGGGAGGTAGGGGCACCTTGACTCGCAAACCAAGTGTGGTGCCACGGACACCAGTCAGTGCCGTCCAACTCATGATCAAAAACGTGTGAGTGGCATTCCCCACATACTCATGCTAACAAGCCATATGCAGGCGAACACACACCACGGCCGGAACGGGCACTGCCACGGGTATGATAACGTACCGGCGTTGATTCTCATTGATTTCGTTTGCGTGCTCGCTGGGATGACGAGAAAGCGGAAGCGTGTCTCTCGATCGACCCCAGCGGAATTACTTTCCATCGTCATTTGTCAACTTTTAACCTCAAGCCATAGCCAGCTCTTTTACCGTATCACATGTGGGGAATCGCCAAGGAAAGATCACGAACATATTCTTGTCTCACATTTTCAGTCGATGTAGAAAGACAACTGCTGTGTGGTTTGGCACGCGGACGAAAGAGGCGGGGCAAGGTTGGTTCTCGCCACAAATCCACAGGCAGGATTCGAGCCGACGTCGCCCATACCCCACAAAAAATACACGGTAAGCGCCTGAACTAGGTAAACCGTCGTTGTGCGACAGCTTCCGTGCTCACAAAGACTTCACGACGACCGAGTGAGGCGTAAAGCAACGGATAATCTTCGACATTTCCCAAATGCTCCAACGTGTCTCTTCCCAACCCGTAATTCTACCTCGTCCCCTCTACATCATCACACCCACCATCGTCGCATTCTTGTTTACACAAGGGGACAGACATCGGTCTTTAACTTCTACACGTAAGCTCCTCAACCACATACGCCGCGCCGACACCCAACAAGATCCTCGACACACGTCCAAAAGATCACTTCCTGTTCCCATGTCAAAATCTAGCTGGCACACGCCTCCTCGGACTGAAACCCCGCAACCGTTGCAAGGGCAACAACAACCAACACTTCCAGTTAAAAGCAGGATCGACATCTAGGGTAGGAGACTTCGATATCGAACAGGGGGTCATGATGCATATACTACTACGTGATGCTGGAAGAATGCAGGGTTGGGGACCAACTTCTCAGAGCAACGCGATACACCTCGGCAAGATACCACCGACTAGAAACAACCTCCGAATTACTCATCCACTCCGAGCCAGAACCAGCAGCATCGAGACATGTAAAGGCCGAATTATCCGTCGTCTTCCAGCTCAGCTTTCCAACAGGCACCGCGCACGAGACATGTTAAAGTTGCTACGCAGAAACCCTTCTCCTCCAGACAGGAGGATTAGCCCTCCCTTGTACAATATTAACTTCTACGACCGGCACACACGGTCTGTCGCCCGCGCTCATCTCTCTCGACATCCTCTGCTGTGACTATCCAGACGCTACCGTGGCAGCGGTTCCGTGCGACAGACACCTGTCCACATACAAAATACCCTCGTGACGATTCCAAGTCCGATCGTTGGTGTGTGGGTGTGCCTCATCTACCATAGAGTGTACAGCCCTCTCCAGGCACTGCCAAATATGTTCTACCCCCCCGGTCATCAACTTTGTCACATACTCTCAACCGAACCTCCCTCCGGCAGCGACAGCTCTCCGGGAGACAAAACCCGCCTCCCGACATAAAACAACACGTCCTAATCTCAAGTGAACGTAATTCCAAACTTGACGTTTCCTAAATGATTTTGATTGTTTCCCTGGGCCACGGTTTCACGTGACCTACCGTAGCCTTCATTATCTTGCCACACTCCTTTACGACGCTTACTTAAAAAAATCTGTACAGCGATCCGGTCTCCTCGCCTAGGCTACGGGTACCGCTGCTTCTGTTGCCGCCGCCGCTACCGCCGCCGCTTCCGAAACGCGCGGGTTCGTGGCGGCGATGTTGGCCTCGGCTACACACAAGCACGCACGCATACACGGGTAACGTCCAAACAAGCAGGAGCGAAAGGAAGGGGCGATTGAGGATCACAACGTGGCAGAGAATCAGGCAAGGGGTGTTTGCAGAACGTACTTGTTTTATGTGTAGTACCGGGTACCGTACATGAACATACAACAGCGTCAAGGTTTTTCAGCTTTGAGCTTTTTCGATTTGAGAGGGGGCCGGAAGTATTAGGTCCGACAAATCACGCCGGGGCGGGGTCCCGCGGCAGATGTGTGCGTCTCCAATTGCAAACGTTGACAACAAACACACGCCCACGCTTCAGTGATTGCTTAGGGTAGGTCATGGCTTAAGCCATATGGCGGGGGGAGGGAGAGAGGGCGATATCCGAATTTTTGTGGAGTTCTCACAACGAGAAGATATGCACCAACACCTGCCGACACCAACAGTGGTCTTGTGCCAGGTTATTACCACTGGCACGTCCGTAGAACGAGTTCTTCTCTACCTGGAGGCACAAGCTGCCAGAATCTCGGCAGGTTCTCTTCCCAGTTGGCCAGCACGCTCTTGGCCTTCGGGCTCCCGGTCAGCTCTACGTGCTTCTCGATCATCCCCTTCACGATAGCCTCTCCCTCGGGCGTAACGACCCTCTGGGCCTTGACGATCTCGAGGTTTACGTGCTCCATGAACTCGCCCTCGGGGAACTCGTCCCTGGAGAGACGTGGCGCGGCGCCATCATGACAGCGTGAAATGAAACAAGGGGAACGCAACCGGGGGGGGGGGGGGGGGGGGGGGGGGGGGGGGGGGGGGGGGGAACGACGCAAGAGCAAACAAACGATGATCAAGGGAGGGCAAGGCAGAGACACGGCGAAATACATGCACATGTAAAAAAAGAAATGCAAATCACGCAAACAAGCAGAGAATAAAGATACACGTGTGGGTGCTGTTTTTGTTTTGGGTATTTTCAATTTTCCTGGTATTGGCAGGACGTGTGGGAGGTTTTGGCAGAGGTGCTGGGCCATCAGACGAAGAAACTACCCCACGACAGCGCAAAGGTGAGGCAGATACAGTGCATCAAGCAACAGTCAGGCCTTCTCGCAAAACACACGAGAGCTACCAAGAAAAATTTCTCGTAACTGATGAGCGGCCAGTCGCACAAACAAGCACAAGTGGGTACATTGTAGGCCATACTCTGGGCGGGAAAATCGAAGCAATGAAGAGGTACAAGCCTGGTCAGTTTGCCAGAAAAACTGTCTTGGCGCGGTCGGTCGACCCGCGGGGTTGTGCAGCACCGGGAACAAATCACGGGGATGGGGAGGGGTCCAAGTGACACACGCCTGCTGTTACATTGACTCCACACGGCTCAAATACAAAACACGGTCGACGCAAGGTCGATATCGGTGTACTACAGTGTTGAGAGGGAATGAAATAGCGTCCACAACGAGTGGGTTAACAACAGCGTCTACCGGCCGATTGACAACGGGCCGCTGAACGAGACGGGGTCGGAAACCCGGACAAGCTCTCCTTTTTCAAAATCACCGCGGACAAACAATGAAAAGCAGCAGTATCTAACACTCACAGGATGTAGGCGACGCCTCCGGTCATACCCGCGCCGACGTTTCTCCCCACCGTGCCGAGCACCACCACGTTGCCCCCGGTCATGTATTCGCAGCAGTGGTCACCGGTACCCTTTCGTGCCAAGACACATAAGTTGTTGGCGTCGTCGTCAGCGGAGGGGGGATATAGATTGAGTCGGACGTGGGGGGGATTGATTGGGTGGCAAGGGCCACGATTTTCCCTGGTGACAAGGGCTCTCAGACCAATGTTGTCTATTGAGAGTCTTGACTATTCACATATTCAAGAATCAGCACAACTCCCAAACTGTTACTCAATAGTCGTAAAATAAAAAAAAATAGTCGTGGAAAAACAATAACAAGAGACGACGGAGTCGACCGTCTCTACCGCCGATGGACGTCTTTCGTAGCACAGAACACACCAACAGTTAGGAACTTTACAGTGAACGACTTGAGACAACAAACAAAAAAATGGAAATCAAACAACATGGCAATAAGAACAGGAGGTGCTCAGTCAAGAATCCTACACAAAAACCTGTAAAGTCACACTTAAAACCAGTACAGTCGATGTGGGGGTACCTCACAGAGGAAACCAGAAACGACCCTCTCGGCCAAAATTCATGGTTCTCGAGTGGCGGCGCCTTCCGTAGTGAGAAAAACACAAAAAACGAGAATGATTGATTCGGTTCTCACCTCCACGACGGAGTCGGCCATGGAGTTCCGCACCGCGAACCGTTCCCCAGCGCGACCGTTCACGTACAGCGAGCCGCCCGTGGCCCCGTACAGGCAAGTGTTCCCGATGATCACGTTCTCGGAAGCATCCATTTTCGACGCGCTGTGCGCCGCCGACAGACGAGTTTGGAAAAAAACGTTTGACGTCATGACTAGGACCGCAAGAGGACCGATGTTTTCGACTGGTGACACAAAAATAATCGTAGAGCAATATTTGAGGGGGGGTCATTTTAGCGTGCTATGAGGACCAATCAACAACGTACAGCACGCATGCACTTAAGTTTAGGTGCTACACGCATCCTCTATACTGGACGCGATACAGGATGGGAACACACGTACTAAAGTTTTGTGCTACTCAGATGTGTTTCTTGAATCTCGGTAGTAACGAAAGACAGGTCGTACACACATGCCAAAAAACTGAACAAGGAATACAAGAAGCATCAACAATCGAAGCACACGCAACCATTACCTGTATAACATTCCTGTTGCATTTGGTTTGACGGTGAAGCATCGTACCGCTTTACTGCTGCGAATGGGTTGTTGTCGTCAACACCGCACCCGTCCTTGCAACAACAAAAAGGCGCTCTCTTCTGAATTTCGGCACTGCCAGCGTCGTCCCTTTCGGGCCTCCTGACTTGCCGCCGATTGTCATGCGTGGAGCTCGCGACATCAACCCCAAATGGGGAGTGTGGAGAACCATCTATCAGGTACGAGAAGACGACAATAGCTGCCGTTGCTACTGCTGCTGCTGTGTGCGTGCGTGTATACCATCAAAATACGACACTGACGTGGTTAGCTGCTGCTGCCATTTCTGCTGCTGCTGCTGCTGCTGTTGTGTGGGTTCGTACCTGTGAGGCACAATAACGATCTGCCCCCCGTTCAGCCCCTTGCCGACGTAGTCATTGGCCTCCCCTTCCAAGTGGAGGGAAACCCCGGGGAGGTTAAAGGCGCCGAACGTCTGCCCAGCGGAGCCCTTGAACCTCAGCTCCAGGTCGCCCCCGGCCGCCTCGAAGCCCTTGTTGCCCCACTGCGACGCGATGCTGCCCGACAGCCGTCCCCCCAGGGAGCGGTCTGTGTTGGCGATCGAGTACTCCTTCGTCAGCTGCGGCATCGTTTTTGGGGAAAGGGAGGGGGTGAGGGGGGAGGAGAGGGCGAGTTCAAGAGACGGAACAAAAAGCAAAGATAGGACAGCCATGATAAGGACGAAACGATAACACACGAGAACAACGACAACGACAACGACAACGACGACAACAACAACAACAACAACAACAACGACAACAACGACAACAACGACAACGACAATGACAATGACAACGACAACGACGACGACTGCAACAGTAACATCGACATCGCCGGACACCAAAAACGACAGGGGAAGGCAAAAAACAAACAGGCACGGGCCACGGTCGGCAGCCATCAGCGGTATCGATGTGTCATCACTCTGTTCCGTCTTTTTCAAGTGTCGCAGCAGGAGCGCTGCCAATCTTTCCATCGCTGCGCACACATACACATGTGCGGTTGGGTTGGTTTTTTTCTTCCTACCTTGGACGCCTCCTCGATGCAGGCCTTCACATCGGCGTCGGCGAGGATCTCGTCATCGAGTACCGGACCGTTGTCGTGCGGCTTGCCGTGCTGCAACCAGGACCTACACAAAAAAGTACCCCAGAACACGGACGGACGGGCGTGCGGAACATGAACGGCGCCGGTTTTGAGGTTTGCGTACGACTCGCGGTGCGGGGATGGTCAGACCGGGGGGGTGATGGGTGTTGGACCAGACCGCACGAGCAAAGCAGCGGCAAAATCCACATACGAACACGATTTCAACAGTAGCAACACCAACATCAGTTAAACCAGACCACAGGAGCGCTTCAGCAGCAAAATCCACATGCAAACACCGCCAACGTCGACCATCCCACCAAACATCACCACCACCAATAACAACAACACCAACAACACCTACAACAGGCAAACGAGCCGAACCTGTCCTGCGAAACGTCGGGAAGCTTGGTGATGAAGTCCAGGTTGAGGGCGGCGTTCGTCTTGGCGAGGGGCGCGTCGGTTCTGGCCGACAACACGTCCGCCCTCCCTATCGCCTCGTCCAGAGACTTGAAGCCAAGCTCTGCCAACAAGAGCCTCACCTCCTCCGCAACAAACTAAATAAACCAAACGTCAACAAACGAACAACCAACCAAACGGGGAGAAGGGACGGTTAGCAAGTTGAACGGAGGGTCAACAAGTTGATGTCCGCAGCAAGACAAAGGAAGAGACGGGGGGGGCAAGGGGGAGTGTGCTCATAGCGTGCCGTATTAGTCGTTAGACCTCGCAAGGCAGAGACGCGGGGGGGGGGGGGGGGGGGGGG